TTTTTTTGCTGTTTGGGCTTTTTTCGAGTGTTTTTTTTTGCTGTTTGGGCGGGGCCCGCGCCCCCGCCCAAACAGCAAAAAATAAAACACGCCCCCGCCCAAACAGCAAAAAAATAACACCCGAAAAGCCCAAACAACAAAAAAGGCCAGACAACAAAAAAATAAACACTCTTACCCTCCCGTGAGCTTGTAGGATTGGCTTCAGGGACGCAGATGACAAGATGAGTGGTGCAGAGGTAGTCAAACAACAACTTGTTAACTTCAAGGATGGATTTGCCTCAAAAAGATCCACAAAACACTTCATCTCTACATAATCCTCAGGAGCCACCCCACTAGCATCGATGTGCTTCCTAAAATCCCTAGCCTGATTATCAGGTTTCACTTGCATCCTGCCATGAGCTCCTCCCCTTCACTCAACGTGGAAGCTCGGGACATCCGTCTCCGCGGCGCGAGCCCTGTCGCGAGGAGAGGGCAGAATCTCGGCTCCAAAGCTGGGGATTTCCCCAAAAATTGGAGGATATATAGGGGTTATATAGGGATAATGGAAAAGAAAATGGAAGCTACTATTTAGGGTTTAGGGTTTAAACTAGGGGTCCCTGTTTGGTTCCCTGTACTAAGGATTGTAGCATTTTGGGGTCTATATTTGGAAGAGGCTTATATAGGGGAGTACTATAGGGGTTGTTAAGGGGGATACTGAGAGTTTAGACTATAGCTCATATGATTCAGTTTTTCAGTTTCAGAAGAGGTACGGAGATTCGGAACGGAACCTGATCAGTGTCTATACGTCCTTGAGGTTCCTTTCAACCATGGGTCCTTTCACAAGCGGTCCCTAGGACTTGGGGTTTAGGGGCGTAGAGGTTTGGAGTTTTTGGTTTCTGGTTTCGGGTTTTGGGGTTCAGGGGTTTAGGGTTTTAGGGTTTTAGGGTTTTAGGGTTTAGGATTGGACCTGCTATCTGGGTATATCAGGGGGTGAAAAGACAGATGATGCTTAAACGTCTTTATGTTTACCAGGGCATATGATTGTTTTTCACTATACGTACTATTGCTATATCTGTTCTTATTCGCATTTCTCCTAGGTGTGATTTTTCTTATTGTTGCAGTTGTTATTGCTACTCAGGCCCTAGGGTTGATCTCAGCAAAGACACGGACAGAAGGCTGCACTAGCTTCTTTATGTACATATAGGCCTGAAGGACAATGAGCATCAACATAGCATAGCCGGGCATAGCCTACAGGCTGTTGCCGAGCTTTGCGAGCTTGACAGGGTTGCCTCATTGACACAAAAGGTTTTATGGGCGTCTATGGCCCAACAGCTTGGGGAATTTGACGTGTGTGGCAACATTACAAGCAGCTTGCTAAGGAATTGCTGTAGCATTGTTTGGAATGCAGCGCACGGATTGAACATCAGCATAAGCTTTTTTTGCAAGGGAGCCATTCTCATCATTCATTCCAGCAAACGACCCCTTCATTGACAGACCCCTGCACTTCCTGACCCTACGTGCGGGATTTTGGGCTGGAAGCCCTTTTGGGAGACACCACTGTGGATTCATGTTGGGCTGTCACATAGATCAAATCTGGCGTCCTTGTTGAAAAGCTCAGCATGGAGTGGGCAAATTTGAAGTTGGGTTTGAGAATTTGAGGCAACTTTCTTGGTTTTAAAAGAGCCTCCTAGCATAGGGTAGGCCAAGGCTCGATGGGCTTTAGGAAAAAAACGTGTCGTTTTCTGGGAGTGTACTACTGAAATGAGCTGTAGTCTAAATTCGATGTATAGGGGACTACTATTGCGGATACCAGCAGTATAGACTAGAGCTTATATAATCTTACAGCTGTTGCTCTTTGAATTTTTCTTATTTTTCGTACGCAGTATCGGCCCAGGAGTCCTGTTTCGGTGGCTGATGTGACCGCTGTTGGCTGCACGAGTGAAAAGGCGGATTTTGTTTCCTCCCAAGTTTCAGCGATCAGGGCTTTGGGCAGCTTTCCCCTGGGGTTCCTGGTGGGTTCCCAAAACTAGGGGTACCTTAAAAGGGGTTCATGGGGGATATATAGGGCTTATGTAGCGTTTAGGGAAATTACCTCCTGTGTATGAAGGAGGCCATACTCACTTGACAAGGAGTAGAAGGGAAAGCGAGGGTGCTATAGCTGCGAGCAGGACGTTTGGGTGTGAGGAAGCCGGGTGGAAGAGCAGCAACACAACGTTAGCTCTCCCAGAAACCTGGCCAGACCAAGCCATTACGCCGAACTGCTTGGACCCAGCCCTTTAGGCTACACTTTGCCAATGCCTGCAACCAAGTTTCGGTGTCCGCCTTTTAAAAAGGCCCCAAGATTTGTGCCGTCTCCAAGTTCGCTACAGCATACAAAACAAGCATTGTACCTAGTTGAAGATGGTAGTTTTTTGGGGCATGTAAAGGGGACCCTGTTCTGTGAAGTATCCAAAGATGCGCAGGTCACCCGAGGCCTTGTTACCAGCTCCCGCCGTTTGACGAAGATCGCCGGCCTTGCCCTGCTCCTCTACTTGCATTATACGATGCTAAAGGGGGGTGGGGGTGGTTCAAGCGGGGAGGGTACAAGGGAGCCTTGGGGAACCTTAGGGAAGCTTAGGGAGTATAAGGGAATAATGGGATTACTAGGTTACCTACCCCCCTTGGACCACCCCCCCTTAAGGACATCCTACTTACAAGTCCCTCCAAGAGGATCAGCTGCAAGAAAAGATCCCCGTAGAGATGGCTTCGGAGTCTACAAGTTCAAGGGGACTAGACCTTCAAACAAGAAACTCAGTGGGAGAACGAAATGTGGGGTTTCCATACATTGGGGGGTCTCTTTTTAGGGCGACCAATAATAATAAGGATTAGAGTATATCTTTGAGGAGACCATGATGTCAACATGAAGTGATCATGGCAGTGTTCCTTTGTGGAGCGGGGAAGACTTAGCGCAACAGCCAATGATTTGTTAGATGGTACATGGCTGTGGTGTGCATGTTTACTACAGTCCCCCTTAAGTAGATAGAATGTGGCCTTGGGTATAGAAATAATAAGATCCCCACATACCCCATACTCTATCTGCTTAAGGGTGACTATATTTGATTAGTCCCCCTAACTTTGAGCCGGAGCACTGGAAAGCCCCGACATGAAATCCGTACCATGGTATGCAGGGTTGTCAAGATGATGGTCCTGGGGGTACCCAAATACAACGGGACATTGTACTATAGGTTACTATGGGCACCCTGAGAGGGGCCAATATGTTGACAACCTACCATTTGTTATTTCAAAGTTCTCAACTGTTTAGAACACCTTTGGCAACCTGGGTGGTTTCCATACACCTCATCTCTGTGTCATCGGGGGCTATGCGGTGCAAGCGTGAGCCTGGCTTACCACTTACAAAGTTCTTATTTGGGCAGTATGTGCCGGTGTACCAACTCCAGTACAGCCTTCAACCTAAACCCGCCAACTCCCATGCTTGCGGAGAGGTTTGGTATCGTTTTCCTTTTCGCTTTCCTTGGCTGGCCGGGGGCGGTGATTGACGATGAGGCCACGCACAGGACCTGCAGCAGGTAAATTAGAGCAGTGTTTAGGGATACTGTAGGCGACAATCTAGAGCCCTCCTTATAGTAGCGATGTTCAAGATGAGCCGTATGCGATCTTTGAGAAGGACCCCTCGCCCCACTCTTTTGTTAGGAGCGAGGTACGTGAGGCGGTGTAACTGTAGCGCAGACGCAAGAAGCTGTGACGATCTGTGGTTGGTCCAGGTTCCAAGCTTATTACACTGGATATCTAGAATGGCTGGAAACCAACATGTTCAAGGGCCTACTGCTGGGGTTACAGTACTCTCACGAATACTTGATTATGAAGTTTGGGTTGTTGCGACTCTGTGCTGGGACGCGTGTCTTTTAGCGTCACTCCCGTAGACTAAAGGAACCCTTTTAAACAGCCCCATTGCGAGAGATAGCAGATTCCGTGAATTGTGAGCCTGCAGGAAGATTCTCACCGCGTTGTTCCTCACCGGGATCACCTTGGTTGCTTTGGAGGATGTGATACGCCTGGACACCTTGCATACATGAATGTTTTCTGTATCGTTTGCAGGTGGTGTTTTTTTGGTCGCTCATGTTCTGAGGGTAAAGATTCCTGGAAGGTATGCGTGGAATGCGGCGCTCTAAGTTTCGGCATAAACCCACACTCAGGGTTACTTCTGAGGATTCTAGTTGAAGTTATCATAATCTGCGTCTGTCGGGCGTCAATCTTTTGCATGTGAGTAGATGTAAAGTTCACACACTGCGACCGCTGCCTCCACTGGGATCAGCAGGCTGTTGCCTTTAAGTTGTTGGCAGGAGTATTGCACGCTGTTGACATTCAGCCTCTCTTGAGATACTTTGCAGCAGTGCCAGCCCCAGCAAGCCCGAACACAGAACTGGATGTACAGTATCATCGTATGACCGCCTCTGCGCGGGACGAACTGTGTAGGTGGTTGCGAAGAATTCACTGACTGACCTGGACCCTAAAACCTAAGCCCTAAACCCTAACTGTGCACGCCTTTGGGCTGGCCAGGGTCTCTTCCCTGTGAGGGAAGGTACCTTTTGGGGGTCCCCATAATAGGGATTATCGGGGTATATATTGGGGTCCCCCTATTTAGGGAAAGTACCAAATAAGCTATAGTCTCCTTTAAAGGGGGTTACATAAGGAAGTATATAGCATTTTAGGGGTTAGTAAGGGGGATGCTTAGTTCCCAACCTTAAACCCAAACCTCTATCCCAAGACAAGGCCGCTATCCTAAACCTCCCCACACAAAAACCTGCATCCCAGGATAAGGCAGCTATCATGCTCGTCTTGGCTTCGGTCATGTGGACCTATCATGCGGCTCAGAAACATCCGACGAAGTCCCAGGCCGGCCACGAGCTTCTCCATCACGATGCTGCGCTGAAGATTTGGAGAGGGGTTTGCCCTTGAAAAGGGACATATGTGTATGTGTATATGAATGTATATATATATATGTAGGTGCATAGATGCATATGTGTGCCTGTACAGTGTTTATTCACTTATTTATTGCGGAAGGTGAAGGTGCGTAATATATATATTTATATACATATGGGTGTATTGGGTCTTTCGAGTGTCGGGCTCAATTTGATTTCGATATTTGGCTTAGGAATAGGAAGGGCCTGATGGCATTGTAATGCGGGTTCTCTAGACTTAGTCTCCCGACCCGCTTGACTTGAGATTCTGAGCTTGAAAAATTGGCTTTGTCTGCACCAATCGGATGTGAAACCCCATGAGCCATAGGCTTAACATGACAGCAGTCTATGCAGCGGTCCTTGTGGGGCTCCGTGTTAGTTTTAGCTCAGCAGAGCCACCAACAGAAAATTCTAAACCCAACAGCGTAATAAGATTAGCAGTAGCCACAATGAGAACTGTCGCCTTCTTGATATGGCAAGTACTGCTGGCACGACGAATATCGCGAGCAGTTTCCACCTGTGTCGCCACGCTTGTTTTTGAGTCTTTGCATACTCTCCTGGAATTGATGAAGAGCTTAGTGGTGCTTAGTGTTCCTCAACTCACTTGTTGAACATGTGGTTTCAGCATACGCAAGCGCAATCATGAACACTGTTATTGCATGTTATTGCACTGTCCGGGTCACCGGAAAATCCTGTTTAGGGAATTCGAGCTCAATGTCAGGATGGATCCAGGGTTCCTGGGTTGTACCCTAGGGCCGAAAAACCCTAAAAGGTTTTTTAATGAGCCAATGTAGTCTCATGGGGTCCTCTCAAAGGATCCCAAAACCTAGGGGGTACAAACCTAGCTCGGGGTATAGTCCCCCTTAAATCCCCTTAAGTAGATAGAATATGGCTTTGGGTATAGTATACTAAGATTCCATATTCTATCTACTCAAAGGGGGACTATACAAGCCTGAAGCCCTGGGGCGGTATGGCTCGGATATGTAGGAATAATGGAGAATCAAATTGACAATGAAACGAAAACTATAGAGCCCGGGCCATGAACCGTCATCCTTGATCCCTGAACACTACACATTAGGAGCTGTCAGAGGGTTTTGTGGATGAATAGAAGCATTGGATCTTAATTACACTGAACCTTTCTTGTAAACCTCTAACTAGGGTCTCCACCACTTGTGTAGTCTTAGCTTTAAACCCTCGGCCCCCCCCTTTCCATCCCCTAGACCTTTCACCCAAAAACGTAAAAGTCCGAAGGGCTGTAAAAAAACATATATATATATACGTATATAGATATACATATACATATATATATATATAGCTGGGCTCCCTAATTCACAGTCTCAGGAACTGTCCAAAGGCCTCTCAGATGTCGGGGCTGTCATCCTCTTCCTGCTCCCGGCCATGGGGACGCGTTGCTATCCCTTTGAAAGTCCCAGACCCCTGGGAGGATCTAAAAATGAGATCCCCATATAGACCTGTTATAACCCCTATATAGTCATTATTTAATTTTCTATATGGTTCCAGGGGATCTAACTTTTAGATCCCTTTGGGGGTCTGGGACGTGTCGGGGTCTGCACCACCCCCTGATGAGCAAACATCACCTACAGTGGCATGTTGTTCAGGGCGCATGCACCTTAGATGGACATGTGTAGTCCCCCAGAAATCCGGGCAAGTTGGCGTCCGCAACTCAAGGAAAGGGTTCTGACGTTGATGCGTTGACAAGGAATTGGGCAATTGTGAATGATACATATCAGGCGTTGTGTTCCTTGACATAATTTGTTTGTTGTGGTTGATAGGGATTCGGATGTGGCAAGTACAGTAAAGCCTGCCCCGAAAGAGGATAGTCGAGTCCATCGACCACATGGACGGGTTTGCGGTTGTTACCTCCTTCATTGTGCAGCGCACGCAGACCAACCCGGACCGCCTGATGCCAATGATTTGCAGCTTGGCTTCTGGGAACCGTCTCATGCCTAAATCCCAAACAAAACGAACCCTTACTTCCCGGCATCTTGCTGCTTTCTCGCTTCCCCGCTCAAAGGAGACCCCCAGAGGCGAACGACCACAAGAGCCTGAAATCCGCTCAGCCACAGGCACATTGGCTTTCTTTCTAAGCTCCGTCATTGACAACTTGACCGCCACCATCGTATGCATCAAGATCCTGAAGCGTGTGGTACCTCACAACCAGGCCAGCAACTATGAGAGCTGGGGGGGCGTATAGGCTCTGTTTCGCCGAGCCAAATTGTGTAGAACCTCAAGTTGTTGAAAAGGTATTCATGATGCTGGTTCAGCACGGTTTTCTTCGGATTCATGATGAATAACCCGACTTCTGATAAGTTCATGTCTCTTGCTCCAGCCCATAATTATGTCACAGGTCAGGCTCATCAGGTATCCCTCAAATCTGGGTACGTCCAGATGTTCCGAAATCTAGGTCACCCCGATTCCATGGACGCCTCAAAAACGGACCCATCTAGTCCCCGTTAAGTAGATAGAATATGGGGTACATGGGGATCTCATTATAATATACCCAAAGCTGTGTTCTATCTACTTGAGGGACTATAGTTTTGGGACATTCCGCTTTAAGCCGTGGCCCGTGTCTGATTTCACTGGGTCGGCTCCTTCATAGGCTTTTCAGCTTAGGGGGTTTCTCATTGAAAGCAAAATACGGGTCCCTTTTGGGGTTGCGTACATAAACAGAATTTTATAGAAGGAATCCCCAATTTCGAGATAGCCTGCTACGATTCGGGGCTTGAAGGCGATACAGAGGAGGCTGAGCCCTTCATCAAGAAAGCCCTGACCCGACCCTCTCACTCCAATCGCGACCTCCGAAGCTGTACCAGAAACCGGACATGAAAACCGCAAGGGCTAACTTTGTAGGCAATTGCCATACATGGAGAGACCGTAATACAGACCCTCGTTATGCGGACCCCCAAAAAAGGTACCCCTACTTTTCGGAAACCCCCAAAACTTTGAAGCAGCTAATACCTGGGTCCACAAACACTTCAGCTCCCACACTTCTGCAGGCGTACCTAGACCCCAAACCCGAAAACCCCTAGCCCTAAGCTTGTACGAGCTATTAGGGGAACATTAGAGGGCTAATTAAGGGGATACCTGGAGTTTAGACTATAGCTTGTATGAAGGACTGGAGGCATTCCTGCGGTGGCGTTGTGGTTGTCGCTGCAAATGCAGGAGGTGCCTGGAGCCCCATTGGAGATGCAGCCCGGCTAGGGTGCGTCCCTAAGGGGTGCAAGGGACATGGTTCCCTTCAAGAGCAGCACATGAACAAAGTTCAAGAATCGAGGGTTAGAATGAAATTAAAGGGAAACTGTGCGTCAATCAGATATACAGGTCCCTTGAACGTTCAGATAGGGCTTCGGGATCAGAATGTAAAAGTAGGGGTCCAGGATTAGGGTTGGGGACTTCTCAAACTGGAAGATCCGAGGGATACATTGTAACTACAGATGGGTCATGGGGTTTCTAGTCAGGATTCTATTGGGTGTTTTTCAGAGAGTTCGCTAAACACTAAGCCCCAAACCCCAACGCTAAATAGTAGCTTCCCTTTTCTTTTCCATTATCCCCATATAGCCCCTATATACTCCCAATATACTAGTTGTTTCCATTCGTTTTCCATTGTCCCAATATATCCCCAACAGACCCCCCATATATTACAATAGTTTCCATTTTCTTTTTCATTATCCCAAGATATATGATGTAGGCTGCTTAGGATTAATCGGGGTACTGGAGAGTTATATCCGGAGTATCCATTCAGGGGCTCTAGAAGCATGATTTCTGCTTCCTGTGAGGGTTATGAAGTGATTGTACAGGTCTACTTCGGGATCTTCCAAAGAGTCCTTTGGAGTTTTGTGCTGCTGCTGTATTGGTGTTGTATTTTTGTTCTCCTTGCGGTTGCAATTTCCACTGGCAAGCAATCTTCTCGTTTTGGTCACATGGGAATGCTAACATCACAGTCAAATTGTCCTGTTGTTGCATGGGGTAGCGACATATTCAGGCTAAGTCGTTTCAAGTCGCAGGTGGCACTTTGAGCAAGAAATCCATCTGAAAACTCCTGGGCATTTCGCGGATCAATCTTGAAGCAGCCCAGGTGACGACCACTATGTTGTGGACGCTTTGTTTGGTTGAGATGCCTCGGGGTCAGGTCCTGTTGAGGGAGCAAGCCTCGTATGAAAGTCTGAAAGTTGGGTATCCCTCTTTCAATTGGGCCGCTACTAGAGCCCTATGTTTTAGGTCTACGCGGTGTATGAAAACTTCTAAATCCACACTGTACATGACGGACTCCCTGCCGTCAACACGAAAATGGTTCCTAGGCTCCAACATTCATCCCCCAATCTGGGCCTTAAGAACGGGTAGCTAGCATGTCACCATCATGAAGCGATGCCTGATTTGGCCTTCTTATGGGAATTGTGGAGGCGTTTATGTCGGGTTCTAGCTCTGGTCCCAAGTACCAATGAATTACGGTGGGCTTGCCGCTTTTCAAACATCCTTTGCAAGGTCTTTTTTCATCGTCCACTGCCGTCGCAGTTTACACTTTAGACAAGGGCGGCAAAAAGAGCATCATCGCTCACAACCACAGGTGCCTGTACCAGTAGAATCTGCTGCAGTACAAGAAAGAAGGCATACTTCCTGTGCTATTTTCACTTCATAAGGGAACAGGGCTGAGCTGGTTTACTTTAGCTGGGAAGGATTTATGAAACACTCAGACCCTTCCCCTTACAAAGCATTAAACAGACATGAAAAAAATGCGAGTAACAATAGTAGTAATAGTAGTAATACAAATACGAACAATGACAATAACGGACATCGGGATTGCAGCTCATCAACTTACCGGGCTAAGCACCTGCTTCTTCCCAGGATTCAGCACAAGATCTCGACCTTTGGAACTGTGGAACCTTG